CCCCTTGCCGGCCCACCAAACTTTCTCCTCCCCCGGCAGCGTCGGTGAGGCTTTGTCGGCCCGCCAAGCTTTCCCCCTTCCTGGCCTGCCGAAATTTTCCCTCCCCCCAGTGGCGAGGCCTCATTGGCCCACCAAACTTTCTCCTTCCTCCCCCACTGGCGGTGGTGGCGAGGCCTTGCCGGTCGGCCAAGCCTTCTCCCCCCACCTCTCCCCTCCCCCTGCCGCCGAAGCCGTTCCAATAGTGTTCCCTGCGCATGTGCAGGGGACGCTCTTTTACTTTTTTGGGGATTTCAGTATCCCCCTATAGTTTTTTTTACATTTTTAAGATTTTTCTGCACATCTGGGGACTGCCCCAAGTGTGCAGGAAAATCTCCCTGCCCCCCAGGTGCCCCCGATGTGTGGATTTAGGTATCCGCACGCAGGGGGCTCCTTCGCTATTGGATATATAGATGTTCAGGCTGATAAACTCTGCTATAGGGAACCTATTGCAGGCTTCTCTAAGAAGGCACCAGACTCCTTGTATAGGGCAAAAAGCTAGTTATATGGGTGGTGCGATAAATAGCCTCAGACAGCATCAATTGTATTTAGCATATTTGAAATCAGAACAGCATGTCTCTTGTCCATCTGTTTCTATCATAATAAGCTGGCGATACCCAACCTAAAGAATGCCTTTGAGGAGCAATATCTAGTTAAAATATCCAATACTAGGTGACATGAGAGACCACTGTCTGAGACTTGGGAAAACAGTTGATCACAGTAAGATGGTAGATCAACAATCTGACTCTGTCATCTTGATGAAGCTGCTTTCTGTTAAGTGCCATCCTGGTCCTCCTTGGTTTGTTGTCATGAACAGTGATACTGTTTTTGTTGCAGGAGATGCACACCTGTAGTTTTGGAGCATCGTGAAGAAGAAGAAGAGATTGGATTTATACCCCACCCTTCACTTGGAGTCTCAGAGCGGCTTACAAACTCCTTTCCCTTCCCCTCCCCACAACAGACACCCTGTGAGGTGGGTGGGGCTGAGAGAACTCTGACACAAACTGCTCTTTTTCAAGGACAGCTGTGCCAGAGCTTGTGACTGACCCAAGGTCACATCAGCAGGTGCAAGTGGAGGAGTGGGGAATCAAACCCGGTTCTCCCAGATTAGAGTCCGCGCACTTAACCACTACACCAAACTGGCTCAAGGGATAAATACCTTGGCTCGGAGAGCTCAGTGGCCCTTCTTTGCCTGCAAGACTTTTCCCCTGTAGTCAGTTCTCAGCCAATGTTCCCTCTAAGCTGAGTTAGTGTGAGCTAGCTCACAGTTTTTTAGCCTCCAGCTCACAGATTTTTGTCTAAGCTCAGGAAAGACGGCTCCAGAGCAAACTAATTTATGCAGCGTCAAATTGCTCGCTCACAACTTTAATGCCAGTAGCTCGCAAAGTAGAATTTTTGCTCACAAGACTCCACACCTTAGAGGGAGCATTGTTCACAGCTGACTTATAGGGACCACATGGGGTTTTTTTAAGGCAAGAGAAGTCCAGAGGTAGCTTGGCACTGCCTGCCTCCGTGTCATGACCCTGGGCTTCCTTGTCGGTCTCCCTTCTGAATACTGAGACCAGGGCCACTCCTGCTTAGCTTCCAAGATCGGGGTAGCCTGGGCTATCAAGGTCAGAGTGCCTGCAAGTCTACAGTACTGTATGATGGTGTTTCTCAACTTCAGCCTCCGTAGAGAACTTCCGAACACTAGAGTGTACAGTTCCAATTTGTAGCACGTCCAAAAACCACAACATGCACAGGAAATAAAAGCTTCACTGGATGATAGTTCTGTGGTTGTTTTTAATTTTCAGTGCTGCTTGTAAAAAACAAGGAATGTTCTATCTCCAGTCACTCAGCCTAGTATCTAGCCATCCAGAAGTACTAACGGCATCAGATGATGGTGGCTAGTACAATAGCCATATGTTTCTGTTCTGAAGTACCGGGCACACGGAAAGAAGAGGGGAAAGGATTTTGATTGCAAGCACGTGTATGAAGAGTAAGCGTGGTGCGAAAAAGACTGTCAGAACTTTAAGACTATTCCCGTTGTAGAACGTTCGCAGCCATGGCATTAGACACAAAACACAGCCAGAGCCATGTCTTTTGCGTTGAAATTTCTGGTTTTGCTTAGAGAAGGGTAGAAGAAAAGCAGTGGGGAGACCCTGAAATCTGAAGCTTTTTGTTTCTGTTGCAGTTCTAAAAAAATTGTGAGATAAGCCCATGGCGGACAATAGGGCTTCAGAAAGTTATAAGGGGATGTGGTAACTTTGGCACGAGGACTGCAAGCCCTCCCAAGGCTACCCTTGCCGACAGGCCCTTATTGAACACATGAGGCAATTCTGGCAATGCCGTTCCCTTCCTGGAGCCACACAAGTAAATCCAGCAGATGGGCTGCTGCCGCTGCCGCTAGTGTGGAAGGGCTGGCAGATTACCTTGGCTAGGAGTGCTTCAGACATGAGTAATTTTCATAACCTTCCCAGAGGATTTCTAACACTAAAGCTATATAGGTAGAAGATATCGGCCTCGTTGCCAGAATCTTTCATGCATCTCTCCCACTGGCAACAGTTTGTTCTTCTTGGGGGCCTGGAGTCTCATTTCCTCTCTATCTGATCCCTATTATATCAAGAACTATGAAAAAATAAATACCAGGGTGATTTTGCAAGGCCCTTAAAAAGTGTCTCGTTGCATGACATAATCCTTTGCTTTCCCTGAGGTTGCATGGCCTCCACGGTACAGCTGGCATGGAGTGTCGGGAGACAGCTGCTTGACCACCACCAACGTCAAGCCCGGACTCCAAGCATGGGGAATAAAGCAAGCTCCAAGTACATAAAGTATTAAAACTTTTATTGCTAATAAAAACTTCATGAGCTGAATACTGGATATTTCCCAAAGTCCAGCTAAGTGGATATAAGGCTAAAGAGAAGTAGATGTTTTTGCCCCTGTTGATATGAACCATTTTTTCATCCCACTAAGGAACCAGAGGGCCTTCTCATTTGTTCTTCACACACAGGCCAGGCTGAAAGTTGGTGACTTAACCAGGAAGCTCCTGCATAGGCTTTAAACCAACAAGATACATACCAGGGTCAAATTGGCACCCCCCAGACCAAACCTTTATTGCCCCGTGCAGGCTGCTGTGCGGAGCATGGCAAAGAACCGT